ATATATATATATATATATATACTAGCTGACCCGGCAAACGTTGTTTTGCTAAGTAAGGTATATTCTAATCAATTTCTAGAGAATCAAAAATATTAATACTTTAAGTGTATAAGGATATCGACTTATTGATTACGTTTCAAGTTTTTCAAATTCTTTTTGGATTCGGGATTTTGTATATAATTATAAATAATACTATTGAGCTTATACAAAATTTTCAAATTTTTGCGGGGAGAGATAGAAAATGAATTAAGTATTTCTTTTTGACCTGCTTTTTGAAAAGTTTCAAGTAACATTCGATGAATTAAAGTAAATTTAATAAAAAGTATATATGTAGAGCAGGGCGAGGCACGAAGGTCCAATTTAACTTTGAGCAAATATAAACTATATTATGAAAACCATAACAATTGTATCACAACAAATAACACATATCAAACGAACAATTATCTGACTACGTTCAGTAAACTGCCTTCTACTTCATCATTGTAGAAATGTGCTTTTTTGATGTCTTTCAAAACTTAAACTTGTAACGGGCAGGTGGCAAAAAGGATTAAAGCCTTATTATAATTATAAAGGTATTTTACAAAATAATTACATTTTTAACTAATGCTAAAAAACTACCAACGGAAGAAAATACTTTCATTATGGATTTTCAAAGATTACCGTTTATCTCCCCCATTTCAAAGATTACTGTTTTCAAATCAAGGTTATAGCTAGTTATACATCTTTTTCCCTCTACTTTCAAATATCGTTGTTAAACAATGCTTAACTTTACTGGTTTTTGACACATCCGTGGTGGACCTTTTTAACCCCGGACCTTCATATATTACTATCTATTCTTCGATAAATTCTGGGAAATTATAACTGGGAAAATGTTGTTCGACAAAATGCCTATTTGATCGATATCAAATTTAGGTTCTGAATTAAAATAACATAAATAAAAAATAAAATAATCTAGAAAATGTTTTATAAATACCAATGAGTGAATAATTATACAAATGAGATCTTTCATAGCACCGTGTTTGAGAAAAATATGCCTAAAAGAGCATTTTCATATTAATAATTTAAAAAAGTTAATATTTTGAGTCTCTAGTAAAACTTGCGGTCCGTTTACTAACGTTTTTGTATATAAATAAAACTACAAACAAATCTACTTACTACAATTCAATCATAATGAAATAATATTCACGTAAAACATCCTATTAAACGTAATTGAACATAATCTGTTAAAAGCGTTTGATATTTAACGTATTAGCCACGGTCCATTGTTTTATTCAAATTACGCTTCTACAAAAATGTTAAAATTAAAAATGTAAAGTTTCTATGCGATTTTGAAATAATATCTCACCTTTCCGACAATCTACTGATTAGCACGAATTTTTCAAGACTAAAACTGGCCAAATCGGTTTAGCCGTTTTCGAGTTTTACCGAATCATTTTGTCGAGAGCTCGATTTTTATATATAAGAATATAGATTTTATTATAATTGTTACACTGTATTTTTTGCAGTATCATTTGGGAAGATTAAAAGAACTGGAAAGTATGACAAGTTCACCATATGGGGTACTAACTGTTCGATGTCATCTTCATACTACAAAACTTTTTGTGGAAATTATGAATGCGAGCAAATTGATTCGAATGGACAATGAAAGTATTAAAACAAACTAATTTATATTATTATTGAATTGACAAAGATTGAAGATGACAAAAAATTACTATTATATATTTTTGTATATTAAAATATTCTTTTTGTTTTTAGATATCTGTAACCCTTTTGTAAAAATCAGTTTACTGCCACAAGATAAATTTATTGGATTATCTAAACATACAACTAAAACTATACTTAAGACTGATCATCCGTTATTTGATGAAACATTTATCGTGTAAGTATGTTATTAATAAAAAGTAATTTAATTATTATTAATTTTTAAAATAAGTAGTGGAGCATGGCATCTTAAATTGCTGGAACTTGTCGTATCAAAAATTAAAATTAAAACTCTGAAAAAAATCGTTCTTTGAGATTTTTAAAATTTTTGAAAAAAATTTTTTTTTTTGAAAAATTTGATTTTGTTTATACTTTGAAATGTTTTGGAAATTTTGAACTTTTTTTAAAGCAATCGAGATACGTTAGCTGCGTAGAAACGAAATAGTGAAGCGCGTGGGCGCCGCGTTGCATTATATAGGATAAACGTTGATACGGAACCCATAACACCGTAAACAAAATTTGTTATTATTATTAAAATTATCTATAAAATATGTGATAATTTATGATCATTTTTTTACTTTTTCTTATTGTATTAAATAAAATGAAAAACTAGTGGGGTGTGTGGCATCGTGCCTTAAGGCAAATTGCTGGAACTTCCCGTACCGTAACGAAATGTACGAGGAATATTGAATGTTTTCAAATAGATTATTATAAATATTGTAACATTGTCTAATATTTATAAGAATTATATAAACTGAATTGCAGAGTTGAAATTAGTTGTTTAAAGTATATTAGAACTATAGTCAGAATTAAAAATAAAATCTGAATTATTTTCGATATACAAAAAATTAAAAAAAAAAAAATGAAACAAATTTTTTTTTCCAAAATCAATTATTTTGTTAAGACAGGCAGAAAGTTCTTTGAATCAAATTCTTAGAAATTTCCTCAGTTCTTTATTTCAATACAAACAAAAACGTTTTTTGAATCAATCAAATCGGATGCTCGGTTTTCTCAAAAATTGAAATTCCGTTTTGGCACTCTTTGCTTCGTATCTCCGAAACGTCTGGACCTACCTTTGCCAAAAACTAATCAGCACATCTCCCCATCAATAGGAATCGAATGTTTTTTTTTTGAATCATTCAAATCGGTTCGCGATTGCTCTGAAAATAAGTTCAAAATTTCCAAAATAATTCAAAGTATAAAAATTTCAAATATTTCAAAAAAGTCAATTGTTTTCAAAAATTTTAAAAATCTCAAATTGTTTTTTTCAGAATTTTAAAAGAAAATTGAATCCTTTTTAAAAATGATAGTTTTTGGTGCGGGAAGTTTTAGCAATTTGCCTTAAGGCACGATGCCATGCACCACTAGTTTCTATTATAATACCATTTCTAGCTCGATTTTAATCTAAGAATTTAATATAAGAGAGTTTATTTTCAATAATTTTTTATTATACTTTTATCGTGTAAGTATTGCTCAAAAACAGTTATTAATAAGAAGTAATTTATTTATTACTAATTTTTAAAATAACTCTTTAAATTCATATCAGATGAGTATTTTATTTTTTAATATACATAAATCAAATTACCATCTTGCAATATTTAAATTTTTATTTATTAAATAATTTTCAAGATATTTGTGCAATATATGTGGTATAGGAATAATAATATTTATTTTATCACTAATTATATTTGCAAATTTAGCTTTATGTTGATTTTGAGCTGGATTTTATTCTAAAGAGAGTTTATCTTCAACAAATTTTAATATATTACTTAAAATTGGGTTATGTACTTGTTATTCATTTCGATTAAGAAGAATATTATTTTATCTAGTAAATCTAAAAATTTTTGTTTTGCTTTGCAGAAAGTTAACCGAGAAGCAATTATCAACCAAGGATGCCTTAATATCCTTCAGTGTCAGACATCGAGACTTGTTAATGAATAAATGTCTAGGACAAACTTTTATGAGACTCTCGGATGTGCCCACAAGTTCCAGTGATTGCAAATTAACAAATCTAACATTAATTAAACCATTTGATAGAAGTAAGTGATGATAATTATACTTTTAATTTATAATTTATTTTTGATCATATTATTTACTTTGTTTAATATAAATGAAACTAAAACTTTAGATGAATTAAATTTTCTAATGGCAGTCGACTGTAGTATGAAAGACACCTTTACGTTCAATTTGTAATGTAACAAAAACGAAACCGTTACGTAACAGTTAGTTATGTTCATGAATCTGAAATTTAACGTTACGTTATATAAACGATTTGATTACGTTTATTTATTAACTTCCCGTAGGGTAAGTTATTGTAATGGGCCGAAAATCGGAATTGAAAATTTTTACATTTCTCGACGTTTTGAAGGTTTCTGAACATTTTGGCATACTTCAGAAAAAATGGATGTGTGTGTGTGTATGTGTGTGTGTGTATGTATGTATGGATACAAATTTCCAGTCACGTTTCCGGGCGAACGGATCAACCGATTTGAATGGTTTAAAAAGCATTCGATTTCTATCGATGGGGAAAAGAGCTGATTAGTTTTTGGCAAAGGCAGGTCCAGCCGTTTCGAGGATACTGAGCAAAGAGTGCAGAAAATAGAAATCGACTTTTTGAGAGAACGGAGTATCCGATTTGAATGATCTAAAAAACATTCAATTAGTAATGATTGGGAGAAGTGTTTATTAATTTTTGGCAAAGGAAGGCCCAGCCATTTCGAAGATACGGAGCTAAATATGTGAAAAATTGCAGTTTTTGAGAGAACTGAGCGTCCGATTTGAATGATTCAAAGAACTTTCTGCTTGTTTTAACAAAATAATTGATTTTAAAAAAAAAAATTTGTTCCAATTTTTTTTTTTTTTTTTTTAATTTTTTGTAAATCGAAAATAATTCAGATTTTATTTTTAATTCTGACTATAGTTTTAATATACTTTAAACAAATAATTCCAACTTTCAATATTAGACAATGTTACAATATTTATAATAATCTATTTGAAAACATTCAATATTCCTCGAACATTTCGCTAAGATACGGGAAGTTCCAGCAATTTGCCTTAAGGCACGATGCCACCCACCCCACTAGTTTAATATTTAGTTTCTCAAATTTATTTTATTCAAGATTAGCACATATATTTACAATAGTAATATTTCATTTATATTATTAGACAATGAGATATTGAAAGCTTTGGAAAATCGACAAGACGACAAGCAGGCCAAAGAATTCTTGAAAAAACTGAAATTCAATACGGTAACAGTAATTTTTTAAATATTAACATTTCTTTAATTAATATACTCATTAGATATTTAATTAATAATTAATAGTAATACTATGTCAATTACAGGAGGATAAGATTTCCGGAACAATTTCCAATTTTAGTCGTGGAGCTAGAAACTTTCGAAATAGCTTCAGAAGGAAAACAAATGGTTAAAAGTGATGATAAACTGTGATTTTATATCTTAAAGGTATTATTAGTTTGTAGTATTCAATAAATAGAGAGCTTTGAAATTAGAATATCCACTAAAGAATTATTTAAAACAATTATAATTATTTAATATAAAACGAGATGTCACCTAGTTAATTATTTATATTTTTAATAAATAATTAATTAAATGTATTGTTAAATAATTCATTTATAATAACGATTAATATTAATCACGGCTTGGAAAATTTAAAAGTGACTCTTGAGATTGGTTTTTGCAAGAATTCATTTCATAATTTTTACGTAAATTTTGTAAGTATTGAGCCAATCGATTATTGAAAATTATGAATTTTGAGTTTTTATCCCCAAAATTGTGTACTTATAACTCAAGAAGAAATCAAGTATTTCAATAAATTTCATTTTTATATATATATATATATATATATATATGTATATATATATAATTAAAAACTGATAAGTTTATTATATAAATATATTTTAATTTTTTATTTATAAATATAAAAACACAATGACTATTTTATTTGTAAATATGTAAAATAGAGCATGTATAAAATTAATTTAAGTTTATATTTAATAACTGAGTATTTTTGTAAACTTATAATAATATAATTGAAGACAAATTATTGAAACTATTTCAAGAAAATAAAAATGAAGACGAAGATAGCAATGAATATGTTTTTATAAAATATGAAGTGAAATCAGTGTTTAAAAAAGTGAAAGACTGAGCATAGATAGAATAGAAAAAATATCACAAACAAGAGGAAATAGTATGTTATTCTCAAGAAATATTATCTTTGGTATGATGTTATTATTCACAAATTTTATCGAAAAGTGTTACGAGGTAAAATGTGAATTCTTGATAATTTTTATAAGGATATATGATAAAGTTCAGGAATAAATACTGACCACCACTAATACGACAAAATTATTCATTTGTAATACTTGAACACATTTTAAATTAAACTCTGTTGATGGAACTCGATAAACCTGGGCATGCACCTTTGTATGATTCTCGGACATCTGGAAAAGAAGAATATGTTAAATATATATATATATATATATATATATATATATTAGAGTGGTCCTTAAAATAGTCATTTTAGAATTTTCTTGCTCCTAGGGGCTCAAATGGTTCCAAATAGATAAAAAACAATTCTCTGAAAGTTTTTGCTCTTAATATTAACGTTTAGATAGAGCGCAATTCAATCAAAGTTTGTATGGAAATAGCATGGAAAAATTTTCAAAAATTTAAAAAATGAGTTAGATTCTTATTGATGAAAAATTATGAAACACCTGAAAAATGGTAAATGAAACAAATTTAAATACACGTTTATTATTAACAAACGTGCAGGCAAGGTGATTATAATAAATAAATATAGCATATATATAAATATAGCATTAATATGTTGCATGAAATAATTTACAGATGAATTCACAAGTGATTTATACAATTTATGATCATTGAAGAACTCTTAGGATACACCAGCAACTTGCCGATAGGCACAGCTTAAATCTACACCTGAATGATGAAATAATGAAAAGGAAAGCAGTACACCACTGAACAACTTTTTTTTATTAAACTATAAACTACAAATGTCGGGTATGATTTTTTTTGTTACAATAATTTATTTAAATGAATATAAATACATATGATTATAATTATAATATAATAGAGAGATAGATAGAGAGCTTTTGATAAATTTAAATGATTATTTTTAGTTTTACACCATCTCGGCGTCTAAATCTCGACAGGCGCCAATGGAGGCTTGCTGGACATCTGGAACAAAATAATGGCAGAAAAAATGAAATGATGATGATGAAGATGAAATTATTTATTTATATTATAAATAATATATTTGGGATGATGGTGAGGTGTGGTTATAGGCAGTTGATGGACGTGTAGTAGGTGAGTGATAGATTTTTTTTTAGGATTTGACTATATGACTATAAGCGTATATGACGATGGATGTTTCTAATATATACACACACACACACACACAGATATATATATATATATATATATATATATATCAGGGTGGTCCTTAACAACGACATTTTCGAATTTCTTTGCTCCCAGGGGCGCAACTGCTTCCAAATCAATAAGAAATGATTCTCTAATAGTATTAGCTTTTTATATAACTATTTAGATAGAGCGCACATAATTAAAAGTTTCATATACTTGTTACTAACATGTGCCATTAAGTAAATTCGTGCGCCATTCGAATATTATGATACATAAGAATATTTATAAACCACTTAACCTCTAATTAAATTCATGTGGGCTGTTCTATAATATCTATTCATCATGGAATCAAGATAATAATTTGAGTGTCAACATCACCAATTAAATAAATATTTTGCTGCAAAATTAATCTTGATGCCATGATGAATAGATATTATAGAGCAGCCCACATGGATTTAATTAGAGGTTAAGTGGTTTATAACTGAAACGTATGAAATTCAAATAAATTTCTAAAAACTTTCATACTATTTTTTATTGATGTAACGCTTGCGTTTACTAACACAACTAAAATGTGAACCAAAAAAGGCTTATTGATGTATATATTTAGTAAATGTGATCTAGATTCTTTTAGACCCTTACTAGATTCTGCTCATAAGATTCTTATTAGATACGTATAAGATTCTTATGAGATCATTACTAAATTCTTAGAAGATTCTTTTTGCAAGATTCTTATTAGATACGCACAAGATTTTTTATGAGATTCTTCTTACTAGATACTTATTAGATACATATAAGGTTTTTATAAAATTTATACTTGAGTCTTGAGTAGATATTTATTACGAGATTCTTAAAAAATCTTTACTATAGTTTGTTGATTCATTTTACAAGATTCTCATTAGAGATCCTTATTAGATTCTTATTAGGTTCTTTTTACATTTATATTGAATGTAACGTAATATATAAGAAATCTAGAGTCTTTAGATTCTGTTCACAAGATCCTTATTAGATATGTATGAGATTCTTATGAGTTTTTTTGCTAAATTCTTGGAAGATTCTTATTCGGGATGGGCAAGATTTTTAATGAGATCTTTACTAGATTCTTATTTCAATATACTTATTAGATACGTATAAGGTTCTTATAAGATCTATACTAGATTCTTAGTAGATTTTCATACTAGATCTTTAGTAGATTTTTCTTACGAAATTCTTAAAAGATCCTTACTAGATTTTTGGTAAATTCATCTTACAAGATTGTCATTTGAGATCTTTAGATTTTTTTTGCAAAATTGAGATTATTTGTGAATTTTTACAAGCTTCTTATAGGTTTTACATTCTTGGTAGAACCATATTAGATTTAGTTTCTAAGAGTTTTTCACTTTTATTTTCATGGTAAGACAAAATATATTTTAGGAAGCGTCCATTAATCACGTGATCAATTTTTGAGGGATTTTAAGACCCCTTCTTGTCGTGATATCAAAATGTAACCCCTCTCCCCCTCCCTTTCCGAACATCGGTGTATTTTTAGTTACGTAAAACTTTCCGAACTATTTTTTTACGAAAAAATGTAAAATTTTTGTTTTTTTGATAATTTAGGTAAAAAATAAGTACACGTATTATCTTACTAGACTGGTACCATACAAATCTATGGCAAAGCTGTAAAAGCTTCCACTCTCTCATTTTTTTAAATCTAAATCAAATCGCTAGGCATGCCACATAACAATATAATTTAAAAATGGATTGGCATATTTTGATTTGTAATTAAAAATTTAATGAATTAATGAATCTATATCAAAATCTTGAAGCTTTCCTTGAAGCCAATTCAATTTAAATAGAATCAGTTCCAGACTAAAAAAAATGGTTCCAAGTTGGAATAATTTTGACAAAACACTCATAGAAAATTGGCATTATACTGGCTGAATAATATTGTAAATTTCTCTTCTAGATCATTTAATTTAGGTCGAATATTTTGAATCCATTAACAAACACTACTTTGAATCTTTGCGGACCAAGTGCCCCAAAGTTTGATAGCCAATTCATATTTTTATTAAACCCATTCATTGAATAAACTCCACTTTTTATTTTCTATAAATCAATTCCACTACTCACTTATTCCGCAGGTCTGGGCACACCTCATCTTTCCTGGATTCGTGTAAGTTGCCCCATCAGTTCCACATATGGGGTTGTACTCGTTCGTCACGGTGCGATGGCAGTTGTTCTGGCAATTGTTTGCTGACGATTGGGCGACGAACGGGAACTGATTTTGCCTGGATAAGAGGTAAATGATAAATAACCTTATACAGGGCCGGTCCTTCCTTGCATGCGATGCATGCAAGAAATGCGGGCGCACGCCTTAGGGGGCGCCAACACGAGATTCGGAAATTAAATTTATATTATAATATTTATATTTTTTTATATAAAATCTAGAATTATTTATTTAAAATCTAGTATACATAATAAATTATAATAAACAATCTAACTTAATTAGGGATACGGAGACACAAAAAGCATATTCATTTTGCAGTGTGATATCAGTAGAAACAATTAACCGATTAATAATTCTGCAAATTAGTCAATAACAGCTGTTTATTGCTTAATCTACTTATTCAATTTTTTCTTTGTTTGAAGTTACCGTGGAATCGAAAAAGAAATTATCTAGTGTTCAAGATCCCATAAGCGCAAACCTGCGAAAGATTAAATTAATTATTGGGCATTATTGACGAAAAATTACGAGCTAATTTAATTAAATCGGAACTTGTTAAAAAATATAAACAAATTATATAAAATGGGGGTGACTTGTTTATCCAAAAAAATGAATTGTAACTTTTGCTTTTGTTGCAAATGTTTCGCATCTGTTGAACTTTGAATATTGAAGACATGCGTGGAAGAAATATTAAAAATAGAAGCAAAATTTACTTTGGAACGAAAATCTTAAGGCTTGTTTTATACCTAGTGGTGTCCATACTCTAAATTTAATAATTATTAACTATACAGAAGTAATACATATCAAATATAATAATTTTTTTTTTTTTTTCAAAATAGTTCAAGAAATGTGTAATTTCTTTGCATTTTTTACTGATTTTTTAACAATATTTCTAAAATACGTTAAAAATTTAACTTTAAAACAACAAGCTAATACTCTGGATATGACGGCTCTTACGATATCAATAAGGAGAAGTTTACGACGCAATTTTTGATATTGTAAATGATGAAAAATTAAATTAAGTTAAAATTTAAAAAATCCAACATGAAATACGAGTGTTATGATTAAAAATTAAATGCTAGTTTTTTTAAATATTAATATTGGACATACGTTAAAAATAATTGAAAATTTCAAAATACTTGATTATAATCAACCCCCGAATCGCCTCGATTTTCTAAATAAATTTGAAATCAATATATTTTATACGCTTTTAGATTAAATCTAATTTTTTGTGCACTAAATCCAGAATAATTAAAAATTAATTTATTTATTTCACTTAATATTTTTGTTAGATTAAAGTTATAGAATTTAAGAAATGAATTTCAGAAATATTATTTATTATTTTGATATCAAGATCTTGATATCAAAATAATAAATACTATTTCTGAACTGCATTTCTTAAATTCTATAACTTTAATCTAACAAAAATATTAATTCTTTTGCTGTGGTAGTCGAATATATATACGGTAGTTGAATATTACTAAAATGTGAAATTACGACATGGATTGTTTTATTTATTGATATCGATAATAATAAATAAATTTAAAATCAATATATTTTATACCCTTCTAGATTATATCTAATTTTTTGTGTACTAAATCCAGAATAATTAAAAATTAATTTAAAAAAAAATGTAAATATTTATATAATTTTAATGATAAACTGTTAAAACGGTGAAAATTAATAAGGGGGAGGGCGCTAGAAAAAAAGTTGCATGCAGGCGCTAAGGACCCCAGGACCGGCCCTGAGTAACCTCATATCAAAATGTGCAACTAAGGGGGCAATTCTACCGTAACAGAGCTTATAAAATAGCATTGTCATGGCAAGACTCATGGCTTGTTCTTGGTATTAAAAATTATTAAATTAAAAAAGGAATAAGGTTATGATAACAGAATTCTAGACGATGCAGTTATCATAACATTATTCTTTGCTTAATTATATGCAAAATACGCCTTGCCGCACGGCAAATAGATAGACATTTTCATAATTTTCACTACCAAGAACAAGCGCAAGAGAGCGTTGCCATGACAACGCAATTTTATGAGCTCTGTTATGGCAGAATTGCCCCTAATTGTTTGTTATCCTTACACAGAGTTAAGGTTGTTTCCAGTCCACTGCAGAATCGGTCCAGAACTGCGAGGCGTGGTGGAGGTCGTCCTGGTTTCTTCGCTGTTGCCGAAGACGAAACCACCATCGTCGTCGTAGAAGTCGATCTGTCTGGTTGTCCTGCGAGTGTTTATACTCGACTGGGTTGGTCTGGGATCTTTAGAAAAAAAAGAAGGTATTGCAAAAATTAATACTTAATTTTAGAAAATTAGTAAAGCCCGGTGCACACGACGCCAGATTTCATGCCGGAGAATTTTTGTTTGTTTGTTACTCTAGCAACGACATAATAAATCATAATTTACGATCTTGCCCGACATATTTTACGATCTTGCCAGCCAGATTTCACGTTTAAGCTCTCTATTCGCAACGTGAGTGTTCTTAACATAATTTATGTCTATGACCGTTGACTAGTAACGACGGAAACTGATTTCACGTCAATTTCTGTTCTCGAAAACTCCTGCCGTATTTTAAGAATAGAGTATGTCCTATTCGATGGCGATATTGACTGTTTTGTGACCGTTACTTTCAGTGTCCAATGAGAAAGCTGTATTTTGTCACGTGAATATGAAGTGTACTTGATTCATGTGCTTCGACTTTGGAAACGTTCAGTTTTTATTTTGTGATGGCTATTGTGTATATTTAGCGATGTGAAAAAATGATTAGTTTTTCGGAAACGAAGTTCAATAATTTTAAAGTATTCGAATTTCCCAAAAAAAAAATCAAATATGCATTTTTTTCAAATTTTTGTAATTTTATTTGAAACTAGATGACTCGACAGACGTTGTCCTGTACATGTGTCTACAATTTTTTAATATAATATACTAATATTTACCATTTACATAAAAATATTAATTATTGTTTTTTAAATTACTCTTTACGCCAAAATGCATATACATTTATAATATAAGCGATGTTAAATGCAAAACTGCTTTAAATAAAATGATGAGTCCCAATTCCCACACTATATTGGAAATTGAAGTATTTTAAACGGTATAACATAACCATAACCATAACATAACACTGGTACTTCGTGTTGGATTAAATTAATTTAATTTTTTATTATTTAAGATATTCAAAATTGCATCTTAAACTTTTCCTAATCGATATCGTGAAGGCCGATTTGTATGTATTCATTTCTACTTTTCCATTTGTTGTTATAAAGTGAAATTTTTTCGAATTTTAAAAATAATGTGGAAAGATTAGTAAAAGATGCAAAAAAATTATATATTGAAAAAAAACTATATTGAAAATTTAATATCTGAATCTTGTGTTGGCGCCCCCTAAGACGTGCGCTCGTAGTTTTCGCATGCATCGCATTAAATATAGGACCGGCCCTGATTAATACTTAATTTCATATTTTAAGTGAATTAATTTGTCATATCCTGTTCATATGTGTATCATTCGATCTGCCATACATATACTGTCTATTTTAAATTATTTCAATTTCTGGCACATTTCAGCTGCTTTTTGTCAATAATATTGTAGACATTACATTCTTCTTATTCATATTCATGAATTTATTATACATATTCTAATATTGTCTAGGTTCATAAGCAAATTGAAATTTTTGGCAGATGATAGTTTTCATTTGTTTTCAATGCAAACAATGACATGCCGTTTTTTTTTTTCAATTTATTCCATTTATTTTGACAATATTCCATATACTCGTACATCCCAGTACTTTATAATCACACACAACTTGGAAAATTTTCTTAACAAACTTCAGAAAGATTAATCAAAATCCGAATAATAGTTTAGAAGGAGTATACAGTGAGTACTTGTAATTTAATATGAACTTTATATAATAGCAATAAAGCTCAAATTAATTCTACATTGTTCGAAAACGTTTGTATGTGAAAAGGAAAAGGGCTGTTTTTAGGGTTTTCCCGCCAATTATTCGATTTTTTCTCAACGAACCTTTCAAAAAATGAATTGGACAAATTGGTCCAGGCGTTTCATTTTTATATGTAAGATATCAAAAAATTACAAAATTAAAAAAAAAATTTAAATCGTTTTATTTCAAAAATTTCTAGATTTGCAAAAATATTCAAAACTTAAAAAAAAAATTAAAATTGGCAAACAATTTATTATTATTATCGGTTTATAAAATTATCGATTATCTTTTTATAATTATCATTTCGTTTAATTTTCGGAAATATGAGATTAAATCATCTTATGGATTCACCCTAATCGGATACGATACATATATGTTTATTGTTTACATTTTATACAATGCTCTGTTTGTACACTTATAAGCATTAGTGCATTTTAGGCTTAAAAAATATAAATTGTGAAATTCACAGTATATACTTATAAAAATTTATTTGAAAATCCACAAAATAATTATTAATCATAAAACTAGTGGTATATGGCATCGTGCCTTAAGGCAAATTTCTGGAACTTTCCGTACCGTAATTAAATATTCGAGAAATTTTAAACGTTTACAGATATATTATTACGAATACTGTAACTTTCATTATTTTTGCTATCTTATTATATCTGAGCAAATCAAATGATAAGTCATAAATCAATTTATCTCCTATCATTTATTAACAATCGTCATTTCATTTCGAATTCAATTTCAAAAAAATAGTTGCCTAAATTGTTACACAAAATTGAAAAAGTGCTCCCGTATAGTCACAGTCTAAACTCATTTGCAAATAATTCTGTGCGACATTTTCACTTATACTGTGCTTAGCTTGGCGGCATTTTCACATTTTTTAATAGTTTTCACAAAATTCGAAATCGAAAAGTGCTCCAGTGCATAAATAGTCTAAACGCACTCGGGTAAACAAATGTACCAGAGTGGCGCTTAGACTGTGCTCATCCTGGGTAATTTTTTGAATTTATAATCCTTTTTTTTTCTTGCTCACCTTACCAGAAAACTTGACAGAAATCCTGTTACAAGAAATACTGGCCTCGTGTTCACCGGGCTTAAATTATTGTTTGATATTAGTTTTATACTCACCAAATAGATTTTGGTTAGATCCAGGTCTCTGGTTCTGATTAAAATTACCTCCTGGTCTCTGATTTTGATTAAATCCACCACCACTAGGTCTTTGGAACTGATTAAAACCAGAGCCTTGGTTCTGATTGAAATTTCCACTTCCTGGTCTTTGATTCTGATTAAAATTTCCACTTCCTGGTCTTTGGTTTTGATTAAAATTTCCACCACCTGGTCTTTGATTCTGATTAAAATTTCCACTTCCTGGTCTTTGGTTTTGATTAAAATTTCCACCACCTGGTCTTTGATTCTGATTAAAATTTCCACCGCTCGGGTTGAAATTTACTTGACCAGGCCTAGGCTGATTATTGAAATTAGGATTGTTGAAACCTTGTTGAAAGTTCTGATTTGTATTGAAATTTTGTTGTCCAGGTCTCCGGAAGTTCTGGTTCTGTCTTGGGGGTCTTGGGGGCGGTGTGTTGAAGTTGACAGGACCGGGGAAGAATAGTTGGCGTTTTTGGCGTGATATTTGTACTGGTGAGGAAGATGCACTTGTGGAAGATAACACTGGAAATTGAAAACAAGTAAGTTTTATTGTCTTTTTCAAAACATATATTTTTTTGGGGAAAAAGAAATCAATTATTTTTTTGGTACTGATAGATTTCTCGTAAAGTATCAAACTCGATCAAACAATTTCAGATTTATGCTCGTTGGAAAGGTGACATTTCGCAGTATAATTTTTTTTTTTTGCTGTTTTCGTTTGGTGCATTCAGTTGTGAGTTACAGGGTGTTCAAAATAGAAGTGAACAAAGATAAAATTCGGTACATTTTTATCTTTCCTTAGGGTAGTTATAGTAATGGGCCGAAAATCAAAAATGAAAATTTTTGCATTTCTCGACGTCTTGAAGGTTTCTGAACATTTTTAAAGGGCATACCTCAGAAACTAAATGGATGTGTGTGTGTGCGTTTTGTATGTCCGCATTTTTTCGTCCACGTTTTCGGGCGCACGGATCAACCGATTTGAATGATTCAAAAAACATTCGATTCCTATTGTGCGGATTAGTTTTTGACAAAGACTGGTCCAGTCGTTACGGAGATTAAGAACAAAGAGTGCAGAAAATAGAAATCGAGTTTTTGAGAGAACGGAGTATCGGCTTTGAATGATTTAAAAAACATTCAATAAGTAATGATTGGGAGGTGTTTTAGTTTTTGGCAAAGGTAGGCCCAGCCATTTCGAAGATACAGAGCTAAATGTTAAAGAGATTGCGGTTTTTGAGAGAACTAAGCGTCCGATTTAAATGATTCAAAGAACTTTCTGCTTGTGTTGACAAAACAATTGCTTTTGGAAAAAAAATTCATTTCATTTTTTTTCGTCTATCGAAAATATTTTAGATTTCGAATTTAATTCGGGCTAAAGTTTTAAAGCTCACTTATATACTTTGAATGAATATTTTTGACTATGTGATTCAGTCAAGTTATAGTCGCAAAAAAAATCCAAAATGAATGTGTGTTTGTATGTGTGTGTATGTGTGTATGTATGTGTGTGAGTGTGTGTGTGTGCGGATACAAATTGTCGTCGACGACTTCGGGAACACGGATCAACCGATTTGAATATTTCGAAAAACATTCGATTCGCATTGATAAGCAGTTGTGCTGATTAGTTTATGGCGAAGGCAGGTCTAGCCGTTCCGGAGATACGGGGCAAAAAGTGCCAAAAACGGTAAATCAGTTTTTAAGAGAACAGAGCGTCCGATTTAAATAATTCAAAAAACATTTTATTTGTATTGACAAGATGAAGGCAGGTCCAGCGGTTATGGACTCTCAATAAAAATATTTAAAAAAATGTCATTTGGCGGTCAAAAATGTTCATTGGACATATGTACATCAAATTATCAGATATTATCATTTTGTGTAATTTTTTTTGGGTTCCGTACCAAGATTTTCGATCACGGTACGGAAAGATCCAGCAATTTGCCTTAAGGCGCAATGCCATACCACTAGTTCAAATCTTTCAAATCGACATATTAACCATTGAATTAATACCATGATTAATAATTAATAAACTGTCAATGCCGAACAAGAAAAACTATTTATGTACATAATATTAAACATTAGTAATTTTTATTCTTTGCATATTTTATAAATCCATTTAAATTTAATTAGAACGAATTATTTATCCATCAAGTGCAATAAAATTGTTTACTTTAGAATTAGCGTTTAAATTTCTCGGGAAATTCTATTCATCGATTCGTCATCGAGGAATTTCCAATGGGACTATTCGTACCGCGTTCAAAGAATTATTTAAATAAATAAATAAATAAACAAATATCAATACATGCGGTTATTTTACTATCTGCATTTACAATCGCTATAAATTCAATTTGTTTAATAATATCGATGCATTTGCATCTTAGATATTTGCATAAATAAACGATTCAAGTGCATTGACACGTACGACATGCTAGATAAAAGATTAAATAAAGATATGCAAACATCGTGCCTTAACGCAAATTGCTGGAACTTCCCGTACCGTAACGAAATGTTCGAGGAATATTAAATGTTTTCAAATAGATTATTATAAATACTATAACTTTCATTATTCGTATTTTATAGACAAAATATAAGAGCTTATAAATTGGACTACTGCGTTTTATATATATTTACAGAAAAGTAAATAAACAAAACTTAATCAATCGGATTTAAAATGAAGGACTTTTTTTAATATTCTTAAGAATTATATTAATAATATTATTAATAAAAATTGCAAAGTTAAAATTAATTATTTGAAGTATATCGGTGAGATTTAGAGCTGTAGCTAAAAATAAAATTAAAATCCGAATTACTTTCGATATTCAAACAAAAATTTGGGTTATTCAAATCGGATGCTCCGTCCTCTCAAAAACTCGATTTGTTTTTTCTGCACTCTTTGCTCCGTATCTCTGTAACGACTGAGCCTGCCTTTGCCAAAAACTAATCAGCACATTTCCCTATCAATAGGAATCGAATGTTTTTTTAACCATTCAAATCGGTGATCCGTGCGTCCGAAAATGTGGACAAAAATTATATCCATACATACATACACACACACTTTCTAATGACATACACGTGAAGTTAGGTTTTATGTGTAAAACGCCTGACGGCACAGCAAACACATAGTTTTTTGGCTGTTTGATATTTCCAACTAATACGAATATAGACCCGAAAAATAGCATTACCATAAGACTTATTATTAACTTAAGTAATACTAATCACAAAAAAATCGAAAATGAAATTTTTTATATATCTTTCCGTTTCAGAGGTTTCTGAACATTTTGGCATATCTTAGAAAAAATTGATGTATGTGTGTATGTGTGTATATGTGTTTGTATGTGTGTGTGTGCGGATACAAATTTTCGTCCACGATTTCGGGAACACGGTTCAACCGATTTCAGTTATTTAAAAAGCATTCGATTCGTATTGATAAGGAGACGTGCTGATTAGTTTTTTGCAAAGGCAGGTCAAGCCGCTTCGAAGATACGGGGCAAAAAGTGCCAAAAACGGTAACTCAGTTTTTAAGAGAACGGAGCGTCCGATTTTAATAATTACTTATATTGACAAGATAAAGAACCGATTAAATTTTTATGAAAGCAGGTCTAGCGGTTTCGGAGATCTAGTGAAAAAAGTAAAAAAAAAATGCCATTTGGCGGTCAAAAATGATCATTAGACATATGCACATCAAACTATCAGATATTTTATGGAGATTTTAATAATAAGAACAAATTTTGTGTACATTTGTATGGGTTCCGTACCAATGTTTATCCGTTAGACGGCGACGCGGCGCTTACGCGTTTAGATATTTCGTCTCTATGCAGTTAAAGCAGTACGATTGCTTTCAAAAAAGTTTAGAATTTTCAAAATATTTCAAAGTAATTTTTTTCAAAAATGTTTATCTTTTAAAAAAAAACATTTTTTGGTACGGGAAGTTCCAGTAACTTGCCTTAAGGCACGATGCCACACGACCCTCTAGTTTTTTTTGCTCTTTCGCTGGTGATATAATCTCATTCTTTGAACAGTTGTAATATCTGTCTCGTCTAAAAAATATTTTCCGTTTTAGTAACTTCAGAGATTTATAGAAACTACGAATAATATAGAAATAATTTCTAATCAATAAACTTACGTTTAGTACACGGCACAAATGTTTAATTTGTTTTATTATTTTCAAGTTTTCAATTTTCAAAATATTCTTGTGATTCAGGCATTTTTCATTAAATCAAGATTTGTACTACGATGTAACTTTAAAATGTTTATTTATCTATGCCGATTTCCTTGTTGATATCGGTACGATTACAACGGCAGATATCTATTCACGCGACACGACGACTAATCACAATTGACCCGTATAGAAATGATATCATCGAGAGCGAATGACATATCATTGGCGCTCGACTCTTATTTTATCTTATCTGCCGTAACGCACTTCCGTTGCATTTGTACGGATTTACACCCTAGTCGCGACTAAAGAAGATTTACTTCAATAAAACATATGACATATGACATTTAATGAATCGCGAGAGGAGTCCGCGATTGTCGTCGGCAATGTTCGCTCAGACATGTGACGTCACACAGTCACTTCTATGTTTGAGCACTTATTTTGCGCTCGACTAGCAGACCATGTAATATAATATAAGGTCTATGGTAAGACCACCACAGAAATGATTTTAGGCACCGATTACAATCCCGTTCTTGCATTTTAGTATTGTGAAGATGTTATCATACAATACTAAACTAAATACAATACTAACTACTTATTAACATGCTAATTGTTTTTATCAATTAATTGATTAATTATCATCTCACCTGCTAAAATGGCAGCAATCGCCAGAACCTTGAACTCTCGCCTCGTTGCCATTGTTTTTGTTAGAGACACAATAAGTTTGTCACGCTCTGCACTTTTATATATTTATATTTATTTATAGTCTCTTAGTTATTTATTTATTGATGCGTTGATAAATATTTAGTTTTGCTAAAATCGAAAAACTGGTTCTTCTTCTCGCAAACAGGCGACACGGTGACGATCTGTACTTTTTTTTTGAACGAACGACGAGTTGTTTTTTTATTGTCGTGGACGTCGATCGAGCTGAAGAAGTAGAAGGGAATCACATATATTAATTAATGAGGCGATTTGGATTTAAATATTATAATTGGATAGAGATTTATAATAACAAATTTATATATATATATATATATATATATATATATTGTAGAGTTTCGAACAAGAATCCAAAAATAATACAAAATAAAAAACAAGAAAAGTTTTTAAAAAAACAATTTCTTTATTTAATTATTTGTTTATTGTCGACGTTTCGGAACTAGGTACGTTCCATCTTCAGGACATCTGTCAAGAAACATGATCTTGATGAGATTTTAGCAAACAATATGTTTAGGAAAAGAAAATAGATTTTTCTTAAATAATGAATTAAATTGTAAAAAATATAATAATGTACAGAAATATGATAATATGTTCAAAATAAAAATGATAAAAATAAATGAGTGGATTATCAGAACAGGATATTAAACATAATAGAAAATTTTTTTGAAAGTTATGGAAATTTTTTAAGAAAAGGTTAATGACAAAGTTGAATTAATTACCTGTATGTTTGAATATTTGTTAGCACTTTTTCACTAAACAAGCTTTTTTAACAAAAATGATTTTGTGAGTTAATTTTCCGCCGAATAATTAGATTTTGTAAATCAAAATTACTAAAAAATTTGTCTTTTTAAAATTATTATTTGAAAACACAAATAATATTGTTCTCTGGATGTTGTTCGATTGGTTTTCGAAAATTAACTAAATGAAACTGGTGTGCCCTTTGTAACACGTGTAAACACTTGAACGAGAGATGTGAGATTGTATGTGTGTGTTTTTATATGTCAGGGTGTGAATAC